AGTAAATGTGATTGTGCATTTAAAAAATCAAGTGTTTAAACACTTCGATCAAACGTGTGCAATTTTTGAGTGTAAGTTCGCCAGATTTGCTTGTATAGAGGTTGAGTAAAGGTTACCCCATATCGTATAGCATTTGAATACAACTTGAGGCAGTATAAATGAAATAAGCAAAGTGTTTACATTGTGAAAATTGTTAGTTGGGATAAAGCAAGTACCTGAGGCCTAAAACTTTTCAAGGATTCTACCTGGAATTGTTTTGAACAAATGTCAGGAATTGACAAATTTATGAACCACTGTGACATGTACCATTTGTTTAGATCTCAGACTTAATTTTTGGTATCTCGTACTAAGGAAAGTTTTGAATTCAAAGTTGAAGAAATATTCAAAATATCAGACATAGCATTTTGATTAGCAGAATTCGATTGACGAATAATGCTTAAAGCAAAACAACTCATTTTAAAATTCAACTCAAATTGTAAGTACCTGAATGTTTTTTTTTTTATAAAATCCCTCTCTAGATCCTGTTAGGGACATTTATTAGGATTCTGAGACTTCGAATATTTTCAGGCATTCACACTTTGGAAATTTTTATATAGGGGAAATGGATGTAATGTCGGCCTAAATGCCCCTAATTTGGGCCCATACATAAATTCAGTACCGTCCCAATGAAGCGTTCATCTAGATAAAATTGATAAATAGCAAACTTTTAGCGATAGGCCCAATCTTAGATCCATAGGCCAACATTAGAGCCATTTCCTCTATTTTATTAATTTGAAGGAAATTTATGAAAACAATTACAAAGATAGCTATGAAAGATGCGAGGAAAATTACTTTTAAACTGTTTAGGTTTTTCAAACTTAAACTCAAAGGAGCTTATGGAATTTAAAATAAATAAATAAAAAAGAAGCACTTTTGATATAGATTTTCAATTCTATGCAATCAAAAATGATCTTATACTTGGAACATTAAAAAAATCATCACAATAGTTTGACTTAGACAAATGAATCGAGATATCGGAACGGAAAAGAAATTATCGGTTCAATGATTCAATACAAAATTAGATTTCAAAGACATTAACGAAAATAATCCAGGATTTAGATATTGTGAATATTGAAAAATACCGAAATTTCAAATTCATCTCGAATTTGGAGAAATGTGAAATATGTTGAATTAATTTTCATCATAACTTTTAGTTACTTCTTGATGAGTTGTGTGATTTTAGTCATAATAATATTCTTATTTATACCATGTGCCATAATTTTGAAAACCGGAATATCAAAATTAACGTGGATATTTGAAATTATTCAGTTATTAGTGGCAAATCTAAATTTCAATTTTCCATATCAAAGTGTTAGATAAAATTCACAGAGCTTATCTCAGCAATAACTGCTTCTCGGAGGATAAGTTTAAAATTCTTGAACTGATTCAAAACACCAATTATATAAATTTTTAATATTACTTGTTCAGAATATTTCTTACAAATCATAAGTAAGCTTTACGTTGTCATACAATATTTGAAATATTTTATGACATATATACAGGGTGAAAGGTAATTCCTGTCATTTTTTTTAAAGTAATTGTAGTATCAAATGAGTTAATCACATACATGTATGCATATTTTTCTTTTAGAGTGTGTTCAAATGTCAACACGGCATTCAAGTTTGTTTTGAATTTTCATTCGTTTGATACTCACGATAATCATGAACGCGAAAAGGGAACTCGTGATAAGCCTGTTTTTGAAGCATCATAAACCGTGTTCTATTTTGAAGACGCTGAAACCACTCGGAATAAACGAAAGATTCATCTTTCACACCATTAAACGGTACAAAGAAACCGGTTCGTGGAAAATCCCTCCCAGACCAGACCGTTATCAAACGAGTGAGAGAGCGAATTCGGCGGAATCCTTGTAAGTCTGGGCGTAAGATGGCAAAAGAACTCGGAATGTCACAGTTAACGCAGGAGTATTTTGAAAGATGATCTCGGATTGAATGCTTCCAAAAAACAGCGGGTGCATGGTTTGACCGGAAAGCAAAAGATAGCTAGAGTCGAAAGATGTTGGAAACTGCTAAAACGGTACAGTGATTGCGAAATTCTGTTTTCGGATGAGAAAATGTTTCTGCTACAGGATCACCACAACCAGCAAAATGATCGGGTTTATGCTGCATATCTTGCTGATATTCCTCGTGCCAAACTGGCTGTTCAAAGGTTCCAGAATGTTTCCAGGGTGACGGTTTGGGGATGTTTCTCCAAAACATTGAAAGTTCCATTGCTGTTCATTGAACCTGGTGTTAAAATCAACAGTAAATATTACATCGATAATGTTTTAAAGAACTACTTGCTTCCTTTCGTCCAAAAACATTATAAGAATGCACCATACTGCTTCCAACAAGACTCTACACCGTCGCATCAGGCAAATTTCCCGGATTTCATTTCGTCGAAAGAGTGACCTCCCTCCTCACCCGATTTAAATTCTCTCGACTTCTTTGCATGGGGCTACATATTAGGCGAACTAGGGAATACCAAGGGACTAACCGTGGAAACTCTTAAGCAACGTTTGGTGAAAATATGGGACGAAATGCCTCAAGATATCGTGCGTGCCAGCTGTAACGATTTTCAAAAACGGATGCGGCTCGTAATTAAACGAAAGGGAGAAAGATTTGAATTGGACTAAGTTAAGACAAATGTTATAGATACACGAAACAAGAAATACACTGAAAATTAAATTTCACGTCATCTTCTCATTTTTATGACCATATACTTTACTGACAGGAACTACCTTTCACCCTGTAAATTGTTACTAGCATGATCTATGATGCAAAGCTATATAATATGTGACTTGTATTGTATTTAAAATGCTCATTACATTACAGAAAATCACCCTATTCGTACTAATACGGAAAAGAATGTAGGTACATCGATATACATCTTATAGATACTTTTTTCAATGATTTTAATATCCCTTTAGTTAATTTTATGAACTTCCAAAGTGAGAGAGAGTAGAATTAATAGTTTCGATTTAATTCCACTACCCTACCACTATCTGTCAAGGATAAGCAAATAAGGTAGTGGAATGAAATGGAAATTTCTCTCTCTTTACACAGGTATTCCACTAAGACGCCCACATTCATCAGGATTGACTTTTGTTACTTTCGTTCGTTTCGTTACTATCAAGTGGCCACCTACACAAATCTGTCAAAGTCACTAAAAAGTAACCAACTATCAGTCCTGTAATACAGATTTCATAAACAGTATACTTAATCTGCAATGTTTCACGACATGAGCAGGTTCTGCGATGTGGTCGATGGAAAGTTTTTTTTTTCTCCCGATGCACAGCGGCTAGAAAATCATCTCGTGATAATTTCATACGACAATATTCTGGAAAAACTTGCTTGGACGCCACTGCCATAACATTAGTTGGAAGAAACAGCTACAGTTGATGTAAGCAATCCACGCTCTAATATTTGATGTTCATGTCATTTGTATTGCGTGTATCAAACATATTTCAGATAAATATAACAGATCGATGGCGTTTCTTATAAACCAAATATTTATTACCATGAAACCACAACCAAAATCAACTCTTACTCTTTATTTGTTCCAACATCAAAGTAAAATAAACATTCATGTCTTAAACTAGGGTCTCCAGCTACAAAAGTAGCTTACCAACCTTTATTGTTATGATATGTATCTAGGTGATTAATTATGTTCATGGACATTTGTTCTAAAGCCTCAACATTCGAAATTAGTTGTACCTCGTTAGTACTGTATCAGGAAGGCAGCTTCAAAATCATTTTCAAAACTTTGTTCTGAATCCTTTGAAGTGCTTTTTTCCTGGTAGTGCAACAACTAGACCATATTGGCACAGCATAAAGCAAAACTTGTTTCAATATTAGAAGTTTGTGCTTCAGGCAAAGTTTAGATTTTCTGTTCATAAGAGGACACCAATATTTTATACATTTGTACCTGGATGTCCTCAATGTGATCTTTAGCAAAGAATGAATCGACATCGTAAATTGGGCGGCTGTGTTTGAATGGCACCTTGTAGAATTCATATTTTCCAAAACGTGTGAGGCAGTGATAGAATCAGCAAATAACTCCGCACGCATCACTTATCTCCCGATCAGAATCCGATCGGCAGATCCCCTATATCGCTATCCCAGAGCAAAAGTCACGTCACTCACTATCAACCGGCTACATACTGCACCCGGGTGGTAGAGATTTAAAAGAATTACCGACACCCTCTAGAGGTGTCTAGAACTTCAGAGGGGTTACAAATTGAAACTCACCATTTTCCGATTCCCAGGATCGGTTGCAGCAATCTTTTCCCGGTCAACTATTTAGAGGATTCTAGCGGAAAAAAGTCACGTGCCACTGTCGTCCCTATGGTCGGATTTGAAATCGAAACCCGTCATGCACCCTTGCCAGCAGCTTTTGGCATCGCAAAGGCGGTGGGAGTTTCGATTCCTTCGCCGAATCTCATTCCTACTCCAACCTTCTCGGTGTGGCTATGTCTGTCTATCTGTCTGTCTGTATGCTGTATGAAGCAAACTGGGAGAGCCGGGCCTCACATTGATTAAGGGGAAACTGCGTCTGAATGATATCTCGGCGCGATCCATTGATAGATAAGCCCGGCTCACGATAGTTGCCATTCCTGCTCATTTCGGTCTCTGCCCGTCTGCTGCCTGCCTTCCTGCCTGTCTGCTTGCCTACAATATCTATCCACTCTAAACCCATGCAGACGCAGAGTCAGAGATGAGGGAGAATATGAATGTTGTCACTGTCGCTGAGATAGCACTGGCGACATACAGTCATTAGTGTCCGTCCGCCGCCATCAGCCATTCTCTCTCAGTCAGCTCGTGGTGCGTCGTCAACAAACAACGATGGAGAGCGAAAGAGAGCCAAAGTGATTCTCACCGTTTGAATATCAAGTCGAGAGCGAAACGCAGGAAGGTGGCTATCTGCTGTAAAAAAATATGAAACCCTCACGTAGGTTTAGTTTTTGGTCGCTCTCGGTGTGTGCAGCACACATAAACACAAGGCTGCCCGTTTTGTTTGAATCGTGCGATGTTTGTGAGTTTCCAGTGTTTTTTTTTTTTGAAATCCGTACGTTTGTGAAACAGTGAAGTAATCGACTGTGAATGTTGGTACCGGTGTGCACAAGTTTGAAACGATCTGGGTCACAGAAGGGCCCAAACTACACAGCGGCGGAAGATCACGACGATAAGCGTTTAACAGCGACGTGAGTGACGTGAAATCGGCTGAAACGATCAGTCACAGCGCGATAAAAATCGCGAACGGAAATGTCAAACTTTTATCGCAACAGTGCGATTTTCCCGTGAAGGTGTTTTTCCTCGGTTCTGTTTTGAACAGGCGGTTCGCTCTCCCGCTCCAGAACAGCAGGCTCCGGGTGTGGTAGTGTGTGTGATGGTGCGCATTGGTGTTGGTGTATTGGTGCATTAGTGAGTGTGCACCGTGAGGGGTGTGAGATGCACAGTGGAAAAAAGTGTTGCAATTTATATCGTCCGCTTATGGGTCGGCTTTCGCACACGTGTGCAACCGCCGACAACCTGTCAAACAAAAGTTTATTTGCGAAGCGGTACATTTTTGCGCCCTCGCTTTGTTCCACCTGAACCCGCGCACTGTAATTTTATTCATGTTTGCAATAAATATTAAAGTTGAAATATTTTTCTGGCGATAAAAGCGAAAAGATTGTGAACAAAGTTGTTACTCAGCAGAAAGCGATAAAAAGTCCCGATAGACCGAGCGCGTTCGGGTGAAACTTGCCGACGAGAGGAAAGCGCAAAAACAGAATCAGCATTTCCATCACAATCAAACCGTTTGGATCTTCATCTGCCGTGTGTGTGTGTGCATGTCTCGGTATTTGGTTTCTGCGGGCAAACAACAACAAAAAAAAAAGTGTCGAAAGCGCAGTCACACTGATGCCGGAATAACGACGAGTGTTCCCGCGTGCGAGCGGGGTATTCAATAAATAAAATACACATTTTATGCGATTTTTGCCGTATCGCCACAAATGACTCATAAACGAAAACGCACAACGGAACTGGTCTGAAAGCGAAAATCGCAGGCAACCGAACGACGCGAATTCGACCGCAAGGACGCAACGCAGTCATCATAAAAACATAAACGTCAAAATAACGCCGCTGCCACCACTTGGCAATTTCGCGTACCCCGCATTCGCTGGTGGCTGATTCCGGACGGGAGATTTCACCGGTGATCGGTTCCCGAGCCGTAAGCACACCACGTTATCGAGTCGTCGCAGTTTCGAATAATGAAATAATAACACGAACAACGTGAAAATAAATAGTTGCCACTGCGCGTGAGGGGGCCATCTTTGCAACTGCTGTTGTTGTTATTGTCATTGTCGCACTCATCGTGCGTGACATCGAAGCAATTGTCGAAACGAGTAGTGCTTAATCCGTACAAATTTTTCTATTGTTGCCCTGTCGGGGAAGTGGGGATATTTATTTTCCCCGAAAAAAAAAGAAGGAATTGCGCGCAACTGTGAACAAAAACAGCGAGAAAATTGGCCTGCATGCTAGGTTTGGGCGGCCCGAAGTAGCAGGCTGTGCAAGTCATCGTACGGCAGGAGTGGAGCAACAGCCAACAGCAAGCTAGTATGACAGTCGAACAGAGCCTGGAAGCAACCGTAATGGGTAGGTTATTGTTTTGCAATTTAGATATTTATTTATTTTCGGGATTCGGCCAATTTCTCCGGAGCGAATATTTTTAGTTTTATGTTTGGCGCTGGGAAATTTATTCGATTGGATACGAGAGTGTGTTTTTTTTTCCTTCGTTTGCTTTCGATTGTTGACTTTATTGGTCCACCGGTGGTGGTTAACTAAAGAGAAAGAGGGTTTTATTTTTATAACTAAATTTCGCGCGGTCGCGTTTGTGTTTTATTATTATTATAACAATTTATTATAAGTTTAAATGGGCTTTGATTTGTATAATGGGGGATTTGGAGGCATTAGCCGTGTTGGGCTGTTTGCTTCCGATTGCAGTCTGTTTTATATGAAAATAAGGTTTGCTAGGTTATTTGATTTGTTTAAGAAATTGATTTGCTTTAGTCATAACTATAACATGTCACAATGATTTGCTGAATGTAAAAGTTCACATCACTCTATTGCTTATCTAAGCTCAGTCACAGAAATTTGTTGCCTCTCTCGCTAAAGATTCCTCTTCTTTGGCTTTATTACGTCCCTACTAGGACTTTAGACCGGCTCTCAACTTAGTGTTCTTTGAGCACTTCCAAAATTGTTAATTGATAGCTTTCTTCTAAAGTAGTACCATTTCCAAAAGTATTATTGTGTGGCAAGTACAATCATACTCTATGCCCATGGAAGTCGATAAATTTTTCGGCCCCCAAAAAATCCTACACCGGTCCGGAAATTCAACTCAGTGGCCTAGCATGATCTAACTTTATAGCTGCACCTTTACCAACTGAGCTAAGAGAGGTCCCTAAAAGTCACGAGATCATATCTCATCTCCAGACAAGTCAAGTCATGCCAACAGGAATTCACGGAATTGCAAGGGAAATGTATGGAATTCCAAGGGGAATTCACGCAATTCTAAGTGTAATTTGCGGAATTCCAACGGGAATTCACATACCTACATCTTGAAGCCACAGAATTCAGATATAGGGATGAGATATTTCCATACATTTTTTTAGATTTTCTTATGATTCGTAGGGATCTATTAATGGACATCCTCAGTGATGGCATAATCATAGCAAATTGATATTGATTGATATAAGGTATAATAATGCTATCTCGTTTTTCTCTTCACCGATGGTAGCCACAAAGCGACTGCTGCCAGCCGTTATAGAAATTTCGGTAGCGATCGGGTGTAAAGCAAAAATCAGGAAACTCAATCTCATCACAGTTTGGTGGCTAGTGTGTTTAATTAGCTTGATATTCTGAGCTGCGATATCACAGCTTGCAATATCAACTGCAGTTGTTTGCTTGTTGATTTTTGTCTACAAAAATCAAGCGTGATTGTGTTCTCTTGGTGAGATTTGATTTTTTGATGTTTTCCCAACACTGGACATCCTGATGGAATTCAAATGTCCTTAGGGATTCTAGATTTATGACCTTAAAATAATAATTGTAGTGTATGGAATCAAAGCAATTGTAGAAACAGCAAATGTCACTTCCTGGCAATTTCCGGGAATCTGGAAATATTTGTATCTGGTCATTAGATATAATGTTTCTTCATTTGATAGCTATTTATATACTTTGGTACTAATGCTGATCAATTCATGAAGCAAAAAATATTGTTCAACACTTTTTTATATCTGTCCCATAAGATTTGCACGGATTCCCCTCGAATATTTCCCTTTTCTTCCCGCGGAAGATTCTTCCAACATCCTTTGGAAGTTTCGTCTGACTTGGTACGTTTCTTCCAACATATCCTGAAAGCTTCCCTTAAATTGCCCTGGAAGATTATTCCATATTTCCTAAGCTCTCCGGATTTTTTTTTATAAATAATCTCCTGAAGTACCTTCCGACATCCCTGGACTCCTGTGAAAGTTCAAAATGTTCACACTTCTCTTCTGTCTTCTCCTGGAACTTTCTTCCGACTTCCTTTGGAAGTGTCTTCCGTATTTCGGGACAAGTTTGTTTTAAAAGCTTTTTCGGAAAACCCTTACAACTTTTCCTGGAAATCTTTTCCCACTTACTAAGGAAATTTCTGATACCGGTTTTCTTTGAAGAATCTTTCAGCTTCTCCAGAAAGATTCATCTGATTTCCCACAGAAGTTTATTCCGACTTCGTTCGGAAACTACTTCTGACTTCGTTCGAAAACTGCTTCTGACTTCGTACGAAAGCTTCTTCCAACTTCCCTCGGAAGTCTCATCCAACTGTATTCGGAAGTTTCCTCTGAATTCACTTTCTGGGAGTGTATTCCGACTCCCCAGGATTTGTTTTTCCTATTTTCCTTGTGTTACCTAGCTCATCATTGTATCACAAATAGCATAAGAGCCCTATGCCACCACCCTTCTATTGAAGCGACCCTCCAATGCTTTGTCAAAGGCGCTGGTATATATTAAGGAACACTAACGGCAACAAGCTCCAGGATCCTCGATCAACTTTACGACCACTCACTTAAAGAGAAGACTCGCCAGAACTCCTCATTACAAACGCCAGTATACAGGAACAGCTGAATTAAAACCGCAGCCAACGTGTGCAATCATCGTGGACCAGATCACTGTCATATATTCTTATGGCATGTGCTTGGCCTTAATAAGAGTAATCCTATATGCTTCCTCTTTTTTTTAAAGAGGTGAACCAATATACGGCTGAAAATCTCTATAAAAATGCTGAACCAATTGATCTAGTCGTGAAAATTTCTGCTGCCTGCTCACCACGCTGTCTGAAGCGAAAATGAGTTGAGACTATACAGCAGCACTCTTATATATCTTTTCAGGTAATTGCAGGATGATGTGCAACCAAGTGGTACTCGATTATGAAGACTGGGTTTGGGAAGAACGTTTATTTTAAGAAAACAGTGATTAAATTACCACTTTTTATTTGTACATTGGACAATGCTTGACATTACAACTTTTTCAATAGTTTCTTGTTGAAAATCATCAGTCGGAAGCATTGCTATTGGTGCGTAGAGATATTTCTGATCGATTGTTGATAAAATTATTGAAATTTGTTCAGGGACAGCTGAGTTATTAATGTTCAAAATCTTTCATGATTTTGTTACATGTTGCATTTTCGGTTTTCACAAAGTGTACCTCCATATAGAAATCAAAGACGTAGTCCTACGTCAAAAATTGATGGTTGCATTTCAATAAATGTCTCATAGCTACCATGACGAATGTATGATATAAGACGCTCCAGTTACGTGCATCATATTGAATAGCAAATTACACTACTTTTTCGCACGGTGTAGTCTAGAAAATCACCATGAAATTTAATATTTGTAGATTCCGTTGGAAATTTCAAGACTCGGTAATTCATGTTAACAGAACTGTCTTACCAATTCAATCCTAGAGCATTCTCTTAGTAATTCTAATTTATGACTAGACTAGAAAACCCTAGTCCAAGGATCTTCTCAGAAACCCTAGATTAGGGAATCTCCTGAGGGTTGCTCGTGGTAGCACGCCTTTTGAGGTTATTTTAATCGAAATTCTAGTTTATTAATTTCCCTGGGAAGTTATAGTAAAGGGAATCCCCTTAAGAATTCCAGTACACGAAATCTGTTAAAACATTCTAGGCCGAATTTTAACGCTTTAAAGCTTTTCCTAAAGATTTCTAGTCTGCGGAATCCTCAAAGGAATTATATCCTAGGGAATCTTCTGAGGAGTTCATCAAGCCTATGAAAACTAACTAGAAGTTCTTACCTATACAGGCCTCAAATAGCTTCGTTTGTTAAGGGCACGATATTACCAAGACGGTGAGTTCAATTCCTGGCCTGGCCTAGAAAAACTCTCAACTTAGTGTTCTAGGTGCACATCCACAGTTATTAATTGAGAGCTTTCGATGCCTGTACCATTTTTGCATTAGTATAATTGTATGGCAATACTCTATGCCCAGGGAAGTCGGGAAATTTTCCAACCCGAAAAATTCCTAGACCGGACCGGGTATCGAACCCAGCCACCTCCAGCATGGTCTTGCTTTGTAGCTGCACCTTTACCGACTGAGCTAAGGGAGGTCCCGTTTTATTGACAACAACAACTATTTTCTCAGTATCATAAAAAGCTCTCAATGAATAACTGTTGAAGAGCTGCAAAGATCACCAAGTTTAAAGCAGGCAAAATCTCATGTAAAAGTGGCAACAGCCAGGAAGAAGACCAAGACCTTTGTAGGATTCTTAGCTATTTTAGTCTAAGGTATCCAATGAATTGCAACCCTGGAGACTTATCACCGTCGCTGCTAGAGCTGATCTGCAGCCAACAAAGCGATTATACTACAAGTGGAGATGCTTGTCCACACGTAAGGGATAGCATCGATCATCGTACCTACGGTCGGAGCATCGAGAGCAGAAGATGAGATGATCGAACGACGAGTGCGGAGTTGGATCGAACGGATGCACAGCGCGAGAGGGAGATTTGGGCTAGGCGACCATAGGTCAAGCGATGACCAGATCGGGAGACGGGAGAACAGTTGGTTTCGGTAGCCGTTGGAAACGGTTGATGCTCCCATCGGGGACGAAGGATATTTAAATTGTTAGCTTAAGATTGCTTGTGAAAAGTAAATTGTGTAGTAATTGTGAATAAATGTAGTTTCTGAGACTAGTGTTCGGTCAATCCGCGAGTGTCCTTTTTGTGTATCTGGAGAAAAAGAACACTCCCTGGAATTCCGCACCCCGTTTCACCCCAAAGGAAACACCAACAACAACAGAGTCCCCAAGCAGTGTTGGAGTCGGTACGGATGCTCCACTGCCACCACACATCGAAGGAGGTAAGCCGGCTATCCAACAGCCGGCAAAACACTCCCAAAAGAAGCATAAAAGTCTAGAATAAGAATAAGAGGAATAATAAGAAGAGTAATTCTTCTCTAGGGAATCTCCTTGACAATTTTACTTTAGGAAAATTAACAATAAATCCGGGTTTGTTTATTGGGACTATTTATCATTTTTCTCTTCCTATAAGAAATCTCCTCCTATCTTCCTATAAGAAATCTCCTCCTCTCTTCCTATAAGAAA